CAGAAAATACTAACATGCATTAAAATAACGGCTAGCACTAATAAATGAGTTTAGCAAGGTTGCAGCATACGAGATCAATATACAAAAATCAGTTATATTTCCAAGCACTATTAATGAATAATCCAAAATTAAAATAAAAAAAACTTATAACAGCATCAAAAAGAATAAAATACTTAGGAATGAAATGCAAGACTTAGAAAGTAGAAGACATATTCTAAAACATACAAAATATTGTTGAAAAATTAAAGAAGATCCAAACAAATGAAAATATATCTCATGTTCATAAGTCAGAAAACTTAATGTTGTTAAACTTAATATTGTTGTTAAGCAATATTCCCCAGATAGAGCTACAGATTAATGCAATTTCTATAAAAATCCTAACTTTTTTTGCAGAAATTGGCACACTTGTCCTAAAATTTATATGGAAATTCAAGGGACACAAATTAGCAAAAATAATCTTGGGAAAATAAAACAAATTTGGAGTACTTCTCAATATCAAATCTTACTGCAAAACTATAATAATCAAGACAGTGGCATTGGGATAGATATAAAGTAATGGAATAGAATTGAGAGTTCAGAAACAAATCCAGGCACTTATGCTCAACTAATTTTTGACAAAGATGCCAAGACTATCTCAATAGGAAAAGAATAATCTTTCCAACAAATACTGCTGGGACAAATGAACATACACATGCAAAAGTATGATATTGGACCCCTATTTTAAATTAAAACAAAATTAATTCAAAATGGATTATAAACCTAAATGTAAGAACCAAACTATAAAACTTTTAGAAGAAAACATGGAGTAAATATTCATGATCTTGGGTTAGGTCTTACATACAACACCAAAAGCATAAGTGACAAAAGGAAATTTGATAAATTGAATTTTGTCAAAATTTTAAAATTTCTGTGCTGCAAATGATACTATAAAAAAGTGAAAAGACAATTTAGAATAGGAGAAAATATTTTAAATTATTCATCTAATAAGGAACTTGTATCCATGATATATAAAGAACCCTTACAACTAAATAATAATAATAAGTAATAATGAGAACTCTTACAACTCAGTAATTTTTTAAAGTAATAATCCAATTAAAAATAGGCATTTCTCCAAAGAAGATACTCAAATAGTAAATAAGCACATGAAAAGATGCCCACATCATTCATCACTAGGGAAATGTAAATCAAAATGACAATGCAATTTTATCTTTACAATTCATCTTCACTAGTCTTCAATGGTTATAACAAAAAGGACAAACAATAGCAAGTGTTGGTAAAAACATAAAGAAATTAGAACTTTTATTCATTGCTGCAAAGAATGTAAAGCTGGTGCAGCCATTTTAGAACAGAATTTGGCAGTTTTTCAAAAAGTTAAACATAGAGTTCCCCTATGACCCAACAGTTCCACTCAGAGGTATATTTTATCCAAGAGAAATGAAAATAAATGTTCATGCAAAAATGTGTACACAAATGTTCATAGCAGCATTATTCATAAGAGTCAAAAAGTGGAAACAGCTCAAATGTCCAGCAAGTGATGTATGAATAAGCAAAATGTGTTTTATCCACACAATGGAACATTATTCAGCCACACAAAGCAATGAAGTACTGATAAAGGTACAACATGGATGAACCTTAAAACCCTATACTACACGAAAGAAGTCAGTCACAAATGACCACACATTCTAGGGTTCCATATATATGAAATGACATCTGGGAAAGGCAAATGCACAAAAACAGAGAGTAGGTTCGTGGTTGCTTGGGGCTGGGAGCGGGTGGGAAGGGATATGGGGAGTGACAGCTGATGCATTTGGCATTTCTTTTTAGGGGATGAAAATGTTCTAAACTGAGATCTTGGTGATGGTTGCATAACACTTTGAATATAATAAAAACCCACTGGATTGCACAACTTTCAAGGGGTGAATTTAATGGTATGTGTATTTAACTCAATAATAACTTTTTTTTAAGAAAAGAAAAAGAATGCTCTGCACTGAAGAGACAGTGGTATTGCGAACAAGAACAGCGGTAGTGGGTATGGAAAGAAAGGTATGTACGCGATAGATCTGATACAGAGGAAAAGGGGAGAGGGGCATCACAGATGGCTTCCTCTTTCTGGCTTGACCAGCCAGGTATACAGAAGTATGATGGGCTGAGACAGGGAGATCTGGGAGAAAAGACAGGGAACATGGAGGGAGAAGTAGTCACAAGTTCTGTTCATACGTTAGTTTTCAAGCACCCAGAAGGTAAGCCAGTGGAAACAGCAAGTAGGTGGCATGAATGTGGCACTGTCCAGCAGATAAATGGCACATCAAGATTATGGAAGTAAATGAGATCAACCACAGCAAGACTGTAGACACATAGATGACAGTGGCTCAGGATAGAGCCCTGATGAGCTCCAGAATTTAAAAGTTAAAGAAGAGTGATGATGACTGTAATAGGGCATTTCAGCATTCCTCATAGCTTGAGTGTGTGTACACTCTGAATTCTCCTTTGCGCCAGTTGGATCACTTTACAGGTTTCTTCATTAATTAATAGTTAAATAATATCTTTGACATGTGTTTATTTTATATTTGTATGAAAATCATGGTTTTACCTTTTTAAACAATTATCCTACAAACAGACAACACACTGTTTAAAATACTCCCATGGTTCCACATTGTCCTTCATATAAGAAACCAAAATCCTTAAATGAGTACCAGTGTGCCGTATGACCTACCCATCTCTCCTGCCTCATCTCTATTCATTTCCCCCCTTTTGCTTTTGCTTCTCCAATTATTTCTGATCTTTAGTTCTTCCATTACCCACGCTCTTTCCTGCTTAGATTCTTCACCAGCTCCTCTGCCTGGAGTCCTTTGTCTTTTCTCTTTCTCCTCTTTACTAAGTATCCCCTAGCCTCATCTGTGTGGTGTTCCGTAACCACTTCTGCCCAAGCCAGGTCCTTTATTCCATGTTCTGTTATTATAGCCCCAGGAAACAGCACAGCTTAATGCATAAAGAACATGTAATATTTGTTGAAGAAATAGATGAGTGAATGAATGTTACCTAATTCCAGCTCTAATTGTTCTGATTTGTTGGTTGTATTTTTTGAAACTGAAGGAAAGTCTGCCAGGGCATCTGCTTTTAAGTTAATGATTTAACTGAGCCAAATGCAAGATTTGAAATACACTTTTTTCCTCTAAACTCAATTGTCCCCGTAAACGGCCAAGGCAAATTTCACCCACAGCATGCACAGCACAGTACATAGCTGCAGAGCCAGATTTCCACTGCCTGCTTCTCGTCTTCACTCAGCCCCTCAGAAATTGGATGTTTTTCTCTGTCTGAGGGGAAAAAAAAGGCAAGAGCAATACGATCCATGTCTCCATGCTCTGAGGCCTCAATTAGCCCCCTGGGTTTCTCCTAGAAGGGAGGTCCCTCCAAATGACTCGTGTTCCTGACAGGGGGCCTGCCTCTTTAGGTGAAGAAGTTAGTCCTGACACGTCATCAGTTACACCGCTAGACATCCATTTGGACATTTTATAAAAAGGCAAAACCAGGATCACAGCACAAAAGGTTTCTGCCATATGAAAAGCCCTTTTTTCAGTCTAACGTGTCCTTGATTTTGCTGATAAGTGAGATCACATCCCCCTGCAAGTAGTTCCTCCTTTGCACCCTCTCCACTCCCATGTTGGGATGGGAGGGTAGGAGTGGGGGATCAACCCAGTCAATTAAATGTACACACATCTATATAAGGAGCTTAAAAATATGCCTAAAGATTGATTTTCTTCTGCATTTTTATTGGGTATGGATTCACCTTTAATTTTATAATATTGTCAATTTTTTCTATATTGTGAGACTTCACTTGTCACAAAAGAAAGAGGCACTATAATGAGGTGCCAGCCCCCCATTATTAATAGTTGTATCTACCACAGATGGCTGTATCTACCAACCTATTTTTTAGGGAGACTGCAAAGCTATCCCCAAAATCGTCATCATACGACTGTTTGCTTATATTTTATATAAGTACAAGGTAATGGTAATAATTGACATTTAATGGCCTGGCCTCCCCTGATGTACCCCTGACTTGATGAAGTGCCTCCTCCCCAGGCTGGGGTTGTCCCTGCAGTTTCCTCCCACTCCCAGTCGCTTTGCTTTCTACGAGTTGAAAGAGACTGTGTGTGGGAATATGAGAGTCTGGAGTCCATAGTACCCATAACCCTCTGAGACGTGAGCCAAATTTGGGGGGAGCATGGGAAATTGCAGTAAGTTCTGAAGTTCAGGTCTCAGTTTCAATTCAAGGGTCCTGCTGAGATTTAACAGACATCAGATGATCAGGTTCGGAAGGCATCTATTTGGTTTCACCCACCCCTCTTGCCCTAGCATCCCCAAAACATCTAGCAATAGACCCAGTCCTAAGTCAGGAAGAATACAATAGAAGTTAGAACTATTTCCTTTTTGTGCCTCCTTTACAAGCTGACAGAAACTTCAGTATGAGCATTAATTCACCTTTCCTAGTTCCCTCTTTCCCCATGCAACCTTATTCCCTCCTTCACACAGGTTCTTACACCTCTTTGTCTTCATGATAGTACTGATCACATCCTAGCGAGGCTGGTTGTATGTGATTTTGTCTCTTGCTTTCTAGACTATGATTCTTTTAAAGGTAGAAAACAGGTATTATTTTTCTTAGTATTCTCAAGGCAAAGCTCAGGAATTAGCATAAAGTAAATAGACAGCGGATGGCTTTAGAATGGATGAAGAAATTACACTAGCATTTTCAGCCTAAGAGCATTTTAATAAATTACTTGAAGCCAATGCATTCATTCTGAACCAGAGAGCTGACATTAGACATCAGGTCAGAGTTTCTCCCTTGGCTTCACTAGATGTGCATATCAAGCCAAATCCATGGTCTGATACTTAGCTATTTATGAGATACCAGAGTTCTAACCAATCAAATAGGCGTTCTTTATATCAGAGCAGTTACAAATGTCTACCTGCTTTTCAATGCTGGTGAGACAGTCTGGACTGTGTAGAACTGTAATGTCTGACTCTCCTGTACTCTCTTACAGCCTAGGCCAACTCCAGGCCTTAGGAGACACATTTACTCAAAGCAGAAAATGTCCATGGAGTGTCTTCTAAATAGTGTTCTATCAGATATCGGCTCCATCTTGATCCTCTCCCTTGGTCCTCAACCCAGAGTCCTTCAGTTCTCCAAAGATGAAAGCTTTTCTCAAGCGAAGACATTCCTGGCCCCAAATTTTACCCTCAGAAACAGAAATAAGAAATAAGTAAGGGAGTAATCTCTGTTCTACCTTTCCATTTCGCCTAGTTTTATGACCATTTACTCCTACCACAAAGGTCCCGTTCTTGGACGTAGGAAATATGATAACGATTTCTCTTTAACATGGCCTCCTCTTACCTGGGGTGGAATGAAGGATCAGGGTATATCGTCCAAGCAAAATCAGAAGCAAATACCATAGTGGTGTTTTAGGATGAACTAAAGATTTAAAATATCTTTTTTTTATAACGATATCATTTATAATGATGACACCTAGTAAAGCCTTTTCTCTGGGAATACCATGAGAAAGAAAGGAAGGTGGGAGGGAGGAAAGAATGAAAGAAGAAAGACATTATCATCCACTGCAATTGCCATCTTTGTCTTCCAGTGGTTTAGAAATTAAGGGGAGCAGGTGACTTATTTGATTTAGTTTTATTTGAGTTTTATTTCAATATTTATGACATAGCTGTTAGTTTCTGGCAGAAGGCTGAGACCCTTAAAAAACTGCATCCGTGATTGTATTTGCACAATCTGTCAAAACCTGAATAAAACGATCCAAGCTGCTTAAAATAATAAGCTAGTAGTTTTAGAAGATTAAATTTTCAGATCTTCCACATCATATGAACATTTTTCTAAAATTATTCTCTAGGGGTTGATTCTCCATTCCCACAATAATATCCCTTCACACACTATCTTTTTTAAAAGACAGGCACATTTCTATTTTATGTCCTATTATGGTGTATCAATCTAGGGTGTAAAAGATTTATAGTTGCCAAACAAAGGCACAATTCAAAATCTCGGGGTTAGAACTGAGAAACTGGATAACATTAACAACTGCATAGAAAATTCTTTTGCAAATCAAGTGGTTTCTAACCCTTTGCTTTTAACAAAATTAAAGAAGACCCTAACTCAGCTGTCCACTAGTAAATCATTAAAAATTATTTTTCATAATAGATCACTAAGATGATTTTTGGTATATTACTTGGAAGGAATTTCTTTCAGTGATCAACTTTTGCCTGACAACCAACCCTAAAACCTGGTGGCTTAAAATAAGAAACTAATATTTCTCTTTATTCTGTAGGATGGGAATGTGGGCTAAGATTAGCTGAGTAGCTCTGCTCCTAGTGATGAGAACTAGGATTATTCATTCAGTTACTTTCAGTGAAATAAAAGTCCATAGAGGCTTCACTCCCATGTCTGGTGCTTCTGACCCCTCCTGGTGACTCCGTTGGGTTTTCTCCCAGTAGAGCAGAGTAGGGACATCTTGCAGGATGACCAGCTTCAAGAGATACATTGTGGCTGCGAGGCCTGGAACTCTCATAGTGTCACTTCTTCCAAAGTCAATCGGTCAAAGCAAATTACAAGACCAGCCTCAAGACAAGGATAAAGGAAACAGATCCGTCTTCTTGTTGGGTAAAACAGCATGCATACCTACAAGGGAGGAACTGACGGTAGGCATCTTTGGAGTTCAAAGAATTGAATGACATCCCTGTAACAAAACTTTTTTTATTCCCAAAAACTCTTCACACATTTTTCAGGAATACTGAGCACTGTTCAAAGGATGGCAGATACAATAATGAACTGATTTCGAGTCCACATTCTAGTAGAAAGTGACAGAAAAGAGAATGAGATTTTGTAAGAAAAGATAATTTATGAAATGTCAGCAATTATTGTGGACTCTGAGGTGACAATTTAAAATGATACATCAGTCATTTATTTAACGGAACTTTGCAGCATGGCCACACCACACTGCAGGAGGAGCTCTCAGAAGTCATTTCTGTATTACTTTACGTTCATGTGGTCAAATAAAAGGCTTATTTTCAATGTTTTAGTTATAGGAAAGCCTGGAATCACAGGTTGGAATGAATTTCTGGTTTTAGCTCATTATTCCAATAAAAGCATATGGTTTTATATATAAGCAGAAGAAGATCCCTGCTGTTTGAAGACTAAATGATGACAGGATTATAAAAAGTTCTGTCTGAGAATGGTTTTCAGTCATTTGATGAGGAATTTCCTGTATGTTCTGGTCTTTGCAGGCGAAGTATCCTTTCATTATTACTAAAAATATTCCTGCTTTATATGAACAATATATTATATTGTACAGTAATATGTTATGTAATATACAATTTGCTTAATAAAATGTATTGTACACATAAATATTTATGTAGATAACTATTAATGTTTTAATGTTAAGCAGTCTACATACATGGGAATTAATAGCTAGGTATGGGAGTTCTATCAGTGTGTCCATGAGCCATAGTGTTGCCAGCCCAGCATCTACACTCTAAACACAGCACTTCCTCTCACAACCTTAACTGACATGTCCATACAGCAATCTCCCATGAGTCACGCTTGCACATCAGGACCATTCCACTGACCACTATTGGCTGGAGCAAGCTTGGGCACCTGATCCAATCTGGGGCTGAGAGAAAGAAGCTAGTCCTTGTTGATGTAACTAGACCACAGAGAAGAGAAGGGTACTGTGGGCTGGCATTTTCTACCTTTCTCCAGCAAAGCAGAGAATCCATTCTTCAAAGAGAGAGAAAGAAGAATGTCTATAAGTAAGGATCTTCCTGGGACTTTAAGCAACTAGAGCCAGTCCCTTCCCGTCCTTGAGTTCTGGAAAACATCTCTGTACTCTTCTAATGAATTCCCTTTTTCTCTTTCAGCTAGCTATAATCACAGATGAATATTAATCAGAGTTCAAGGAGAGAAGTCATAGGTGAGGAAGTGGAGCAGGCCAAAACTAGGGAAGAGAGTTAGGTAGGAGAAAATAAGAAATGAGAATCAACAGCAAGGAGGTCCATGATAAAATAAAGCAGAAGCATATGTGCCAAATGAACAAATCACAAATTGATTCTAGACTGTCATTCAAACACTGTCACATTCCTTCTGTAGAGTCTGGACCAAACTATAGCTAACAAGTGACCAAACAGAGATGCATGGTGTCTCTCTCCTCTGTATCTTCTGATCATGCTCTCCCCAAGGGCTCTTGGTCCCAATCTTAACAATGACAACAAGCTTATATTTCTTAAAAAAAGAAAGATATTTCTTTCCTTCTTTCTCCATCAAACAAAAATTTTAAAAATAGACCTATCTCCTTCCCCCTCTTGCCCTTACTCAGTCAAGTGGCTTTTTTCCTCTCCATCCCATCAAAGATGCTTTTTCAGAAACATTCCCTGGTTCCTCAGACTCCCTCATTACCATGTGACTTTGTTCCCAGAGTCTATCTAAACAAATCTCTTCAATCTAGTCCCTCCTCTGTGGTCCTCTCCAATAGCCCTAGTTGAGGACCTCATCCTCTTTTACTGAGACTAATGCAACAGCCTCCTCATTGGTCTCCTTGTTCTCATCCCTTCCTCTTTCCAATCCATCCCTTAAAATATCAAGAGAATTATGTACTAAAAACACAAATATGTCACTTAAAGACCTTCTAAGACCTCTTGTTGCCTCAGAATGAATCTAAATTTCTTAATTTGGCTATCAAACCACTTTCATTTTTACCCCAGCTTTTTTTTTTTCACAATTCACCTTCCACAAACCCCTCCCCAGATACTAGTTGAGACTGTAATGCCATAATCCAAAACACACACTTAATGCTTTTGTGCTTTCTTTATTGCTGCCTTTGTCTGAAGTGTCTTTTCCCTCCATACATACCATCTCCCCATTCTATGCCTCATGAATTTTTTGAAGTTTTCCTCTGTGAAACTTTGTTTTTAGCAGCTACTAGAGCTCATAACAGATATATTTCCTTGTGACACTAACAGAGCACTTGCCACAATGTATAGTGTGGCTTGTACAGTCCTCCCATGGGACTATAAGCCCTTAAAGGCCAAAGACACTGCATTATTAGTGTTCAGATCTCCAATGCCTAGAAATGTCCCTTTAAATACTAAATAAATGCTTATTAAATCAAGTCAAGTTATTAAATAGTCAACCTGCAGGTAAAAAAAAGTCACTTCTATTCCCCGTGATTCCACTGACATAGAAGTACTTCCATTTTTAAAATAACAAGCCAATAAAGTCATTTATTCATTCATTTATTCAACACTTGATTCATTCTATTCCCCAAACGCATGTTGTTTAGTAATTAAGTTGGGCAGAAGTATCTTCAAAGCCCTTACTATAATAATTTTTATTTAAATAGTGAGCAAAAGTTCCAGAGTTGGCAGTAGTCAATAGTCCTAGGTAAGTAGTCCTATTCAAATGGACATTGCAGTACAGTAAGCAAAATAAGAACTCGGGTACTTTTTAAATACCTGCATTTTATTTTAAACTACACAGATTTCAGAAACAAGCCAGAAATTAAATGTTGAATACGTTTCAAATTCATATAAGAATAAGCTTATTACAAAACATTGCAAATATGTCTATTTTTAAATATATGTTTATTGGCAGACAAAATTAATTCTTACTCAAAATATAATCAAAAATACATTAAGATAGAGAAAGATTAGTCATCAAATTCTTGCTATCAAGTAGTCTAAGTTATTAAAATATTTACATTATAAAATAAATTAGCCAGCATATTCTAGAAAAAAAATCAAAACTTAGTGAAAAAGGTTAACTCCAAAATGCTTTTCTTTTCCAAAGTATTAAGGGAGGTGTACAAGAATAAAGGGGACAATCTAAGGTAATAGATTTTATACCTAAATGATTTTCCACCTTGAGAAATTTCACCTGCGCCAATTTTGTAATTTGTTGAGTTCTTCCAATTGTTTCCTTGGTCCAAGTTGTCTGGAATAATATTCTGAATGTTAGCACTTTTATGAAGTTAGTATAGCTTTACTGTTTCTGCCAAATGTCATTACCTCATTTTTCAAATTGAACTATGGAAATAATTGGAACCATCTTATACAGACCTTTGATGACCTCAAGTGAAGAAATGAGAAAAGCAAAGATATAATAGCTAGTGAAACTCTTCTATGCTTTGTGATTCAAATTGTATCAATATGACTCACCAAATCTACCAGCATTTGCTTAATCTGAGATGTGAGGCTATATTATGAACAAGTAAATGATTAGACATTTATATGACCCAGTTTTTGTGGCTCTGTTAGCCAATGGATGGCCTCATTTTGATCCACAAAAAGTCAACCAGCCATATAGACACAGTCAGGACATAAGCCAGAGATCTGAAAAATGATCAAAGAATCTTACTGGCCTCCAATTCAAGACAGTGAAAAAAGTTCAAAGACTATGTCTGGTACCATACTGTCACCCACTTTCCCCCGACTCTGACCCTCCCAGATTTATGTTCTCAGACATTCAATCCTCACTATTCACAGGTTCCATAATTTTGAATTCACCTACTTTCTAAAATTAATTTATAACCCCCAAATCAATACTACACACACACACAAAAAAACACTTTTGTGATAATTCATGGACATGCTCGGAGCAGAAAAAAAAAAATCTGAGTGGTCCAAAGCACTCGTTTCCAGCTGCGGTCAAAAAAGGTGACACTCCGCTATTTTGCTTCACTCTAACAGAGATGGCCAGAGGATGGAGATGGTAGGAGCAGTGGGGAAGCTCAGTTCTGGGGCCAGCTGGATGGAGTTTGAATCCCAACTCTAGCCCCTATCAGTCGGGCAGCCTCAGACCAGTAAGTTAACATTTCTGAATCTTATTTTCTCTTCTGTACTAGGATGAGTTGTTTTTAGGATCAAAGATTACACCCTGTGTGAGATATACGTACCCCTAGGAGCTAATTCAATGTTTACAGCAACTGTATAGAACACAGCTAATATGAGTATCAAGCATTCACTGCATCTGGAAATTGGTGATGAGATTCGGAGGCACTGCAATGGCTTAAGTTTGCACTCTGAAGTGACTGGGAGAGATCAGTCTTACCCCAGGCCTTATGTGCCCTCATTTTTACATATACTTCAATATCATTACATCCTTTACCAATGTAACTGCAGGAACTTATGTGCTACTTACTTTCTATAATTAAATTCCCTTTCTATTTGCTATATGAGATTATTCACTGAATTGTTCAAACCATGTGGAAGAACCGGCTTGTGCAAGCTACTCATTGGCTGACGTATTTCTCTTACAATATTACTATATAATATTTATGTCAGTTCACAACTGAAAAAAGAACAATTATCAAGAAGCAGTTTATAGCAATTTCTTGCCTCATGACAGATCTTCCACCTGGCTAACTGCTGCACTTGGCTTAGATGTAAGCAAAAGTACAGGAACCGTAGAATTAAATTAGGGATTTGTCGATCTCAATTGAACTGAAAAATAGCCCTTTTAAATTAGAAACAAATTACGTATTGCTGAAATATAAAGAACTCAAAACCCATTAGATTATTAAATTAAATGTTTTGAACACTTAAATACATTTTAAATGGACAAAGGGTTGGAATAGCCCACTTTAAAAGGTAATAAAAACCATAAGCACAGGACAAAATGCTCAAAAT